GGCTCGTTGTCCTTGGTAAATGGGGGGCGGAACTTGGAGCCGAGGAAGGGAGAGAGGGCGGTGCTGAGTTTGGCAGCGCGCAGTGCGGAAGGCGGGGGCCCGGAGAAGTACGAGACGATATTATAGATCTCGGAGTACCCGACGGAGATGGGAATGTAGTGGAGCCTTTCGAAAGAGTGTGAATGAGGGGAACGAATCGAGAGAAGGAGAAGAAGGGAAAAGGACGGTGCCGGAGGGAGCACACGATAGGTCTGCCTGACATCGAAGACTTTTTGACTCGACAATGTCGTGCAGATATATCGACTCGACATCCCACTTTTGCACCATCCCTCAAGGGAAGAAAGCACGAAGAAATACGCACCAAGGCTCGATCCACCCAGTAAAGAACTCGTCATACACCGTCGACTTCACAGGCACGCTGTCGCTGGCGAGGAACGCCATGAAGCGGCCGCTGTAGCCCATCCCGTCGAGGTCGAGGAGGTACCTGCATGTGCGTTAGCTCGGCTCGTATCGAGTATGAGGTATAAAGGAAGCAAAGGATGACTAGGGCATCTCCGTCCACGTCTCCGGGACCTCTCCATCCCCAAGCTCAACGCGTCGATGTAGACGAGCGCGTCATCTTCCTCTTCTCGTCCCTCCCGCATATCCACCCAACAGCACAAGCCAAAACCACAAGGACACTCACTTATACCCCCACGCTTCCCCCAGCTCCGTGCTGTCCCCAAAACGGTGCTCAGGCCCGATGGGCACGACCGCCTTGGTGAACGCCGTGTCCATGACGTCTGCGTTGAGCGCCGCGAGCGGGACGGGCACGGTCGTGTACACCGGTGTCGATGTGGTCTCTTGCTCCTGGGCCGAGGGAGCGAGGGACGTGGGGAAAGAGTAGGGTGCTGTGGGGTGCGTTAGCGATGTGTGCAGAGGCGGAAAAGTGAAGGAAGGGGAAGAATTCGGGGAAGACGATCGGCAGGAGGAATGACAGCGGAAGGGAAAGGGAAGCACAGAGAGGAAAAGGATTCACAGGAAATGTTAAAGGAAAAAATGAACGCTCACCCTGCGCCGTCCCCACATCAGGAATTTGTTCCGGCTGCGGCGGCACCGCGAACGTCACTGGTGTCGTGCGCTGCGCATCTGCGAGCGTGCCGCGGACGAGCCCGACGGAGGACATGCGGAGGAACCTGAGGAGGGGGCGAGTCAGCAAAACAATCGCGCTGGCAAGATGAAGGGAAGGGATGGAAAGAGAAGGGTGCGACGCCGAGCGGTGTGCACAGCGCCGGGCGGGAGGACATGAGACACGACGGGGAGGAGCCCCCAGCCGTGCTTGGGTCCAATCGTCAGTGCGGGAGGGCATGACACAAGACGAGGAGCAGCGCGCGCTCGGGAAAGCCATCTTGCATCGTCAAGGGGCCCACAGGCCACACAGCAAGCCCTTCTGCCCCGGCTCTGCCCCACCCCGCACCACCGACTCTATCACCACGCCCATCCGCATCCCCACCCACCCGCATCCCCACCCACCCCGCATCCCCATTCATCCTCATCTTATCCTCCCCACCCCATATCACACTCCCTGGACCAAGAGCGCGAAAGGGACTCACCGATGCCTTTGATACCCGTACCCAAACCCCGGCGGGCTGCTCCCTCCGCCCGTGCTCGCGCCGCGCCACCTGCGGAAAAAAGACAAAGTCAGCGTTATTGGGATTAAAGGCATGACGTCATCGAGAGAGGGAAAAAAAATATCGAGACGAGCGCACACCCTACTCCCGCTCTCCCTTTCGAAACGAAGGATGGAATGAAAAAAAACGCACCAAACGACGTCCCTCTTCGCCTCCCACGGCACCTCCATCGGGTCCACCGCGCGCTGCTCCAGGTTGATCGGGTCCCAGGCGTAGGTGTATCTGTCGTGCGAGGGCGTCAGCTTGAGGCAGAGAGTGGGAGGTGGGGGAGGGTAAAGGAGGAAGTGGAGGTGGAGGATAAAGTAACGAAAGACGGAGAAGCGAGGAGGAAGAGAAACGCACCTCTTCGTCCCCCCATAATAATAATGGCTTGGCACCCTTATATCGCCAAAACCGCGCGCGCGCGCCGGGGAGAAGACGGGCACGAGCGCGGGGAGGACGCGCCAGTCGGAGAAGAAGTGGCCTGGGGAGGGAGGGGGGCATTAGCGAACGGGGAAAGATGAGGTGGGGTTAGGCGGAGCACGGAGCAGGGGGGGGAGCATGAGAAAGGGAAGGCGGAGGTGGAGGGGGAGGAGGAGGGTAAGGGGTAGACAAGAGCGAGGACGAGTGGGGGGACGAGTAGGAGTAAGAGTAGGAGTATAAGTAGGAGCAAGGTGAGGGCAAGGGAAGGGGGAGGAACACGCGTACGAGCACGAGTAAGTAAGCCGGGAGGAAGGGAGGAGGGACAGAACCGAAGATGGAAAACCCACCCTGCTCATAATGCGCCCCCGGCGCTCCACAAAAATCCAGCCCCGCACTCGTCCCCTTCGCGAACGCAAACTCGGCGCCCGTGCCGATGCCGGGGTGGCCTCCTGCTGCTGCTGCTGCTCCTTTCCCCCTTTCTTTTCCTCCCTGCCCCTTTCCTCCCATCCCCCCCTTTCCACCCTTCCCCCCCTTTCCTCCGTTTTCCGTCGCCGCCACCGACGCCGAATCCGCCTGCCCGAGCAAGTCCTCCCGATACGCCTCCCCCAGCAAATCCCGCCCCCCGCTGACGCCCTTCCACCCCGAGCCGACGGCGCTGTAGAGCCTGCGCGCGGGGGAGGCCGGCGGGCAGGTGCGGCGCCAGGCGTCCCAGACGGAGCCGGCGCCGGCCCAGTCGGGGCGGAAGGTCGTTGGGGAGAGGATGGTTGATGCTGTGTGGGAGAGCGGGGTAAGTAGGGTGTGGTGAGGAGGAGAAGGGGGAGGAGAGAAAGGAAGGAAGGAGAAAGGGAAGAGATAAAAACACGATGGAGCGCGTAGGAGAGGGGTGCGCGACAATGCCGCGCGAAATCGAAATCAAAGAAAGAAACGCCAAGCGACTCGGAAAAAGAGCCAGAGGCAAGGATAGGGATCTGGAGAACGCGCACGCACCGGGCTCGGTAGTGTTCGGGTACGCGACGTGCTCCCAAGGCACGACGACGCGTCCCTCTGCTTTTGCATTGATTGGGAAGTCCATGTCGGGAAGCTGCGAAGGGCATGAATAAAGTTGGAAAAGGGATCGCATAAAAGAAAAGCAAAGAAATTCCACACACCTGCTTCACAAACTGGCCCAACATCGCCTTGAACCCCGCCGCCCTCGCACTAACCTCCGAATCCTTAAACTTCCCATCCCCACCCTTGACCGTCTCCGCCTTCCCGCCCCTCACCCGCACCAAATCAATACTCGGCAATGCCCCCACAAGCCGCGCCCTCTCCCTCATCTCCTCCCCGCTCAATTCCCAAAACGGCTTCAGGTCCTCGTGGACCGAGTCGAACTCGTCTATCATGACGAAATTGTGCTTCAAGGCAAATTCATACCAAAGGTCGAAACCGCGGGGAGGAGCGCGGGCGTAGCGCCGAGTGTACTCGGCCACCGCTGCGGCGAGGGAGGGCGACTGCCGCCCGACCTTGGCGCGGAAGCGCGTTTCCGCCGCGTCCATGAGCGCCGGGATCGGATGGGGCTTCTCAGCGCCACGGATCCATGCTTTTGCTTTTGCTGCGAACGAGCCGGTTTTTTTTGGGATCGAGGGAGGACTTGGACTTGGGGGAGAAGGCGGCGCAGCGGCGTGCAGCCCCGCGCGCAGGAACGCGAGGAATACGACCAAGAGGAAGATGTAGCCGCTTTGCTGGTGCAGCCATCCGTATGCGGCGCGCGGGGAGAGCCTCAGGCCCCGTCGTGCCCGCATCCCACTCAAGCCCGAGTGGTTGCTATCTAGACGAGTTTTATCGCGACCCAAGTGAGCTCTATTGCGGTCCAAGTAAGCTGTTTTATCGCGATCCCAGCGAGAATTATCGACGCCGTGCTCGTCGCTGCCAGAGTATTTACGAGTGTTTGAGCTCGGGGGCGACAGCCTCCTCAGGGTCTTCCGCTCTCCTGCCATCGTCGAGTCGGCTGCTACCTCGGAGTCGAGCTGCTTTTCGACGTCGGGGGACATGCCCGCTAGGGCTGAGAATGGGTTGATGCGAGGAACGGATGCGAAGAACAGGTGGCAGGAGAACGGCCGCGGGTATTCGGTGGTCCGAACTCGCTGATTTCGATTCCAAACTGGACACGGGCGCTAAATTCCAAATTTACTTGAATTTACTCCTTCAGAGTCGCTTCTGCTCAATATCTTCGCACTAGGCTTATTTTTCTGCTGGTTTGCTCGTGCGTTCTTGTTCTGTTCTCTTTCTATGCTTCATTCTGGGGATGTTATCTCTAATCAATGAGCATCTGACCCCTTCACGGCATCTCCACAATTGCAAAATCTCCGCAACTTTCCCATGATGATGATTCGCATCAGAACCGTGCTTCTCCGTCCGCGTGCTTCTGGAAGATCTTTTCTGACTCAGCTTGTTCCTGGGAAGTCCCAGGGCCTGAACTGCGACTCGCTCCTTGGCCGCGGTTGAATCGAATTGATGTTCTGGAGGAGTATGCAAATGGGGTTCAAACAAATCTCAAACTCGGCGTCAAGGTAAATGCCAAGTTATTTTTAGCAAACAAGCTTTAGCCAAAAGACTCTTGATGCCAGCTCAATCACCGATGGTACGCATCTCATCTATGTACAGTACGTCGTGCGGCGTGCCAAGTGTGCGATGTATCCCCACTTTCTCCATCCATAAATTAATATTCTAGCGCCATGAAGGATCACCCTCACAAGCCCTCACATCGCCTACACAATTTACCCCACCCCCACCTACATCCTATCCTCATTCTCATCTTGTTCAGACAATAAATAACCCGTACCCTTACCTTTCATATGGGTACAGATGTATTTGCGTATCTCGTGAATCAATAAGACAAGAGGTCCAACTTGGCAGTAGTTCAAAAAAATTGTGAAGGCCAGTTCGTAATGACCCAGGCCCGAATCGAACAGGCAGCTTCTCCTTGTCTGCATGAACACTTGATAAGAGAGGGAGATGCGGACCATCCGCCACTGGGTCTGTACACCACTTGGTGTGAGACTACATAGCTGTCCAATTTTTTACTCAGTAACTTTACTGACTCAGAGCAAAGCCAACTCTCTAACCGACCGGCAATGAAACATTAAAAACTCAGATGTGAGTTCAGACATCGGCATATGAGTAAGTAGAACACGAAACAAAAATCGACTTAACACAGGCAATATGACCCGGGCCCGAGTCGAACGGGCGACTTCGCCTTACAGGTTGTCCTCCCGACATCCCAAGGAAAGGAGAGGTGGACCATCCGCCACCGGGTCTATGTACTGCTTGGTTTGACTCTGACTATCAATAACCGTTGGCTTTGAGGTTCATGTCAAAAACCAATGGGGAGGCCGTGGTTTGAATTCCGAGACCGACAATTTCAATACACATTTTGGGGCATAGAGAAGACAAATTTGAAAAAATTAAGAGAGGAAAGAAAAAAGCAAAGGAACTTCAATTTGATGATTCAGGCGAATCGAACAGGCAACTTCTCCTTATCGGACATTGTGCAACCTTACTCAGTAAGAGAGGGAGATGCAGAACGTCCGCCACTGGGCCGGTATACCACTCGGTGTGAGCCTAGATATATAGCCGCCAGCTTTTTTATTCAGTGCTGTGAGGTGACTTCACTAAACAGAAAAAAGATAATTCACAACCAACCGGCAACGTAAACAAGACAATAAAAAAATCAGGTGCGAGTTCAAACATCCGCAGCTGGGTAAGTAGGACATGAAACCAAAATATCGAATCTCCCGGAGAATGACCCAGCCCCGAATCGAACAGGTGACTTATCCTTATCTGGAGATCATTCATGTAATAAAGAGAGTTAAAGAGAGTGAGATGTGGACCATCCGCCACTGGGTCGGTATACCACTCGTTATGAACCTAGGTAGCTATCAGCTTTTTTTACTCAGTGCTGTGAGGTAATTTCACTCACTGAGCCCCCACAAGCAAAACCAATTCTCTACACGACTGCCAATTCAAACCACCAGTTCGCAAATTGGCATATGGGTAAGTAGAAAAACAAAAAAATTGTTTGGGTAAAGTGTGGGATGACCCAGGCCCGAATCGAACAGGCGACTTCTCCTTATCTTATCTGGAATCAGATCTAGGAAAACTCAAGAGAGGGAGACATGGACCATCCACTACTGGGTCGGTATAATGCTTGGTTTGAAGCTGACTATCAACGATCAATTACAGGTTTCAGTCTGCATGTAAAAAATACAGATCCTCAACAAAAGTGGAGGGAAAAAAAGAAATGACAAGGCTCAGAACTTAGTGACCCATGCCTGAATCAAACAAGCAACTGCTCCTGATCTGGATTCCTGGTACCGATAGGTTTCAGGTCTCAAACTTGTAATGTAAAACCGACTGACGGGGCCCGATCGTATAGGGGTAAATATATAAATTACAATGCTGTGCTCACTCCTCTGTATTGTGGATAATAAATGCAATACCCCAAGTACTAGTCCCCAAGTCTTTGGTCAACAGTTTATGAATCTGGATTGTGGTCACTGAACACTTTAAGCTTGGCAGATTCCAAAAGATATATGTTGAGACCCTCTGGGGATGGAACTGTACTTTGAGAATTTTGGTCCAATCACCCACTACCTAAGTACATACCAGCACAGAGGCGAGGAATGAGGAGGGATTTCCGGCCCAGCACTGATTGTTGTTATCGGCATGACCAGATAAGATAATATTTTTCTCATAGGAGTTGATTGTGGGCATGGGCTTGCCCTTCCTCCATGCCAACTTCTTCCTTCCCCTTTTTTTATTATTCAATTATTACAGTTTTTTTGTAGTTAGTTTGCATGCATGTTGTTGAGACGACACATTCAGAGACCTTTTGGTCGGCGGTGAGTTATGATCGATAGCAAGGAACCACGTCGGTTACCCACGAGGTTTTAGCCATATGGTGAAACGGTGACGCAGACGTAGGGCTATACGCAGCGGCCTAGCACACACACTAACACCCTAGGGCACTAGATATATACTAACACACTACACACACACACACACTCCACTTAGCAATGCGTCTCCTCAATTTGTTCGTGGGTCCGGTCTGTAGTATGCGGACAGCAGAGCTCAGAATCACAAGGTTTGCACAAATCCAACACTAGTGATCGAAAGATCTTGTTCAACGGCTCTTGTTTGATTAACTAACTATACAGATAGCTTCCTAGTCCCAGATGTACGGTTCTTTTTTTTTTTTTTTTTTTTTGGTGGTACATTAGGCAGAAGCAACTAACAATAGGTTAGCCCTTCTGTTTTAGTAAAGCATGGAAAGTTAATTCCAAAGGAGTGGTTCACACCACCCAGAGAAATGCTTTAAGCACGCCCATGGGGCAGTGTGGGACTGCCGCGCTACCCGATCCCACGACTATTTTGCCGTCGGGTCGGGGCTTGTGGGAAAGCGCGGCTACCCACTAAAACTCTGGGCTCCCGTAGCCAATTGTCTGGTAAGCTCTTTTCATCTAGTATATTGGACCAAGTGTCCAGTACCAGTTTTGGAGCTAGCACGGGGCGTTTCCCCCGGCGCTGTCTGTTCGCCATGAGCTTATCCATTTGCAACTTATGGTTGATCGTGAATTTCCATTTGTTTATAATTTCTTCTGTAGCCGGCTCTCCGTCCCGCTTGATCACACGGTCACTAAAACCGGATGTACGGTTCTAGCAATATATATGTAGGGTTGTGGGTTTTGGTGGACCCTAGGGACAATCCTTTGCCCTAGGGGTACCGGTCAAGTGCCCTAGCAGCAAACACTTGTGATAGGCGTGACTCCCTGTAACACTACGAATCCAAGACTACAGCCCCTTTGCACTGAGTATTGTCTCACAGCCGACGATGATACCTGCATACCAGCAGACCTTTGTTTGTGACTCCGAGGTGCTATCCTAGGGTAGAAAGGCAAGATGTCCCAGTCCGAATACACACCTGAGGTGTGCGAGTGTAAAGGCGACAGTCAAACCAATGGCCCTAGCGACCCCCCGTGAATCGGGTGTGAAGGCCTTCTTACAGGTCGCTCCACTAGGAACTTAAGCTCACTCAAAACTCTCGCTTTAAGCCAACACAAACTCCCATTTATCGAACAGCTACTACACAAGGACAGAACTATCCTGCAACACTGACCGGAGTACACCTTCACCTTCCTAGCGCTTCAACCAATGTCAAAACCACTTGAAAACCGCAGCCTAGGGCAGAAACTCGACAGAGTTCTCCCCAAACTGGTTATAACAAGGGCATAGGAGCAAAGGAGGGCAACCAGGGATGGGATGCACTGCTCAATGTGCGAGTTTTTACATGCTTTATATACTATACCATAAGATATAACATAATCACACATACATAAGCTGCCAGGAGTATTCATCATCATCTGTGATGAGAGATGACTCATAAATGAGTCATAACTCCATGCCGAGGACATTCCTCATCATCTGCACAATGCTGGGGTGATTCCTCATGGTTCCTGGCATGACATCACCCATCTGATGTAACATCCAATGCCAGTCTGGCCATCAGGCCAAGGTTGATCCCAGCTCATCTTCCTAGTACAATCGGACTCTGGTCCCTAGGACACTTCGGTCGTCTTATACCATCGCTAGTATTGAAGTATAGGCCTATGTTTGACATGGCAATTATATTGCACACATCATACCTTCTATAATCGCCTCTAAAACTCATGCTCAATCAAGAGCAGTCGTTCCAAACAGCCCTAGGAGCACATAGCTCCTTGAGTCGCAGCTCAGCCATCTCGATTCACTCCTAGGATATATAGATATATCTTTGAATCACACTAGGCTTGATAATCGGGTCCAAGAACTTGTTTGATCCCACTAGGGCTTTCATCTGGGCAGTCATTGGTTCTTTTAATAGGAATAATATCCCTATTGAATGTCTGGGCTTCGGGTTTATCTCCTTGGTGCGTGTATTCAGCTAACACTGAGCATTTATCCACTTGTGTAGCCTGAAATACTTCAGCCAGCAGCTGGAGCTCACTCTGGCTCTCGTTATATCACCAAAAAGAGGTGCTAGGACCATGGTATGTGTCAGGGGAACCCCCGTCCCGACCCCCATCCAACGCCCTTCCGACCCCTCCGATCCTTCCGGTCGCTCTCCCAGTCACCGGTCTACCGGGACCGGTACCGGAAACCGGCACGTGACCCGGGGGAACCCCCGATGGCACCTTGCGTGTGACCAAGCCCGGGACATCTGCCGATCACTCCGGTCACATGGTCTTAGCTAGTAGCTTACTTATACCCACGGCTGACGTGGGAATCCTCAGAGTTTCTTCTCTTTGGATCCCCCACGTCAGTCCCTGAGTACCTCGGGCCTTCGTGGTTGCCCTTACAGCAGAAGAAACTCTTTAAGGGATTAACCGGCCAAGATTGCAGGCTTTGGTGTGAACGGCTCGGACTCCTCTGATAGTGTCCCGGCCTCCCCTACCCTGAATCTTGCCCCCTCCTCCTTACCTGTAGAGCACTCCATGGACGCTGCGAGTACCGCCGCCGCCGCTGCGCAAGCAGCTGAAGCCGTCTCCGCCCACATGGACAGGTTCGAGAGTACCCTTGAGCGAATTGCACAAAAAATCGACCCTACCCATACTGCTTCACCTGCCCCGTCCCTTGCCGGCCCGGCTCCGGACCCGGGTACAGAATTATTCCCTCCAGCAGTTCCCGGCTCGAAATCGGCCCTCCAGCCAAACCCCCCGTTTGTCTTCGACGGCGACCGGAAACAAGGCCGGGCGTTTCTCCATGCCGTTCGGTCGTACATCCGGTTGCTCCCGGAGGCGTTCCTCGAGGACGGCAGCCCCTCAGAAGAGAAGGCGCTCCGGTTCGCCATGTCCTTCATGGCCAAAGACTCCGCATCGAAGTGGGCCGAGCGCCACGCCACCAGAGCCCCGTTCCCCTTCTCCACCTGGGATGTGTTCGTCCCGGAGTTCCGGCTCCGGTTCGTCGAGGAAAACGAGCAGGACCACGCGCTACGCACCCTCGAGTCCCGGCCGTATCACATGGGCGCGCGGGACGTCTTCCGGTACACCGACGACTTTGAGGACTTTGTCGACCTTGCTGGCTTCGAAGACCCGATCATCAAGGTCACGAAATACCGGACCGGTCTTAACCCAGCGATTAACCTTGCTATCACCGGGTCAAGCGACCCTCCAGACCTGCGGGACTACCCGGCCTGGTGCCTCCGGGCCTACCGGCAGTACAAGTCGCTCCTCTGCACGCACGAGGCCTCCCGCGAGACAACCAGTTCCGGTCGCCACCAACCGGCCGCACGCTCGGGAACCCTTCCGGTCGCGGTCACTTCCGTTCCGGCATGTTTTACCGCACCGCAACAGAGAGCCACTGCCCTCCCCACGCTTCCGCCTGCCGTCCCAATGGACGTCGACCGGACGTGTGCCCGTAGCGCCCTGCGCCGCGGTTGCTTCCGCTGCAGGGACCCGAACCACTTCGCCCGGAACTGTACCGCACCGGTCGACGTCCGGTCAATCAATGTCTTGGACGAGGTGATCTGGCAACTCGGGGGCGACTTGCTCGACGAGCTCGTCGTGCGTCTGGCATCGACGGAGGCTGCCGCGGAACACGCCGGTGCCGCCGAGCCGGAGGATTTTCTCCCCCGCGCAGAGTGAGCGGTGCGCCCTCTGTCACGTCTCCTAATCGTTTCGCTGTCCTATGTAACGAGTGTGACAATATATCTCTTGCATCCACCGAACCGATAGACGCACCCCTTAGACCGATTGAGACTCCGGTCGTACCAGCCATTCCGGTCGTTCCGGTCGAACCGGTCGAACCGGAACCCCAACCACCTCTCCTGCGGATGCCGCGCCCCCGAAGAAAACTGCCTGGGAGCGCCGCCTCCCAAAACACTTTACCCTTGCTGCCACCTCGGAGAGCAGTAACTCCCTCCGGCTCCCCCTCGAGATCGAATCCACCACCGACGCCGTGAAGCTCTCGCTCAACGGCCTGGTGGACTGCGGGGCTACTTCCGAGTTTATTGACACGGAGTACGCCGCCGAGCACAAGATACCGGTCTGCCAGCTCTCGCAGCCCATCCCGGTCTACAATGTGGACGGTTCTCCCAATGAGGCCGGCTTCATTCGGGATGTCGCAGACGTGGTCCTTCGCTACAAGGGCCACAGTGAGCATGC